AAAAGAAAGATTTTTTCCTCACGTTACACCGATACTGAGATAATGTAAGACAGTTAGAAATTTTTACGAGATTGTCCCGCAACACTGCAGTACCGTTTTGCTTCTAGTCGCCTAGGGGGACCATTCAGTTAGGCTACGGTTCTATGGTATTGAAGCTACCCCGGAACATCAGGGCTATATTTTGATTCATTTTCTTATGCAAGAAGCAGTTAACAATTTTTTCAATGAAAAGGCAACATGAAGAAAATGTAAGTGAAGTAGGATCGTATATAACTGTAGCGAAAGTGGGTTTTCAGCGGAATCTAAGGATCATGAGTGATTAAAAACCCTTACGCCCATGCAATGCAATTGAAATGCCACGAATCAGGGGTGCTACTGGTGCTTCAAGTTTCGAACGATATTTAGGGGCAGTTCGTAAAGAATGACCTGCCCCGTCTCGATGAATCTGGAATGCCCCTCTCACATGTGTTAGCGAGCTGTCATGTCACTGTCTGATGACGAAACGAACTCTGGTTCGTTTTACCAACAAGATCTTGAGCAAAAATAAGCATCCTCCACGTAGGACGTCACAACACTTCTCCAACGTGCGTAGAATACTTGTCTAGAGAATAAGGTGCGAAGTATATATGCAAAAAATATGTCATCACATTTGGTTCCGGACTTGTTGCTGAAATTCATTATGGCTTACCAGTAGATGATTGAGGGCAGCGAGCAACACGGAAGTTGACGCTTCATTGCTAAAGCGTTTCTGTACGCACGCTGTAGCATTGCCAAGACACAGCTGATATGCAGGCAGTCCCATCACTGTCGAAGCTTCGGCTTACATCAAAGGCCTAAGCTTACATGTGCAAGGCAACATGCTGAGGCTTAGGTATAGGGGTAACCTTTGTTTTATATGAACCAGTAAAACAGCAGCATTGTGGGCTTTGACTGAACCGCAAATCAGTTTCAGTGTATGCTGAATGCGTCAATTTAAAGTGAGTGGCTGATTTTGACCAATATATTCATTACCTTAAATTTCAGAGTTTAACTTCGCATTGAGAAGTCATGACTGCGATGGTTTGGGCACGTGTTTAGAATGCTTTCAGAAAGGAAGGTAATGCATCTACGACTTGCTCAACGAACCGGTCGAAGACCCCGGAAACGGCCAAGAATAACCTTAAGCAGATATATGGAAGGACTCTGTTCCAGACTTGAGTTATTTTCTATCGAAACTCAACGCTGACGTAGAATCAGAAATGAAGACACTGCATGACGCGTCTGCCTCCGCGATCCGAAAGGGTAGGCGATCATTGAAACTGACTGACTGAATCTCAACCACAGTTATATAATTCCAAAGTTTCCTATCAACTTTCTGCTACCATCCCAGCTATCGCTTATCACCACGAATGAGAAGTATTCTTTGTGCATGATAATGTTTCTTCGCCAAAATATGTTGGACTCTTGTATACTAACCTCTTATCCTTGTCGATTAACAGACATGGTCGTCCATATGTATGCAAACAACCCCATAGTATTGCAGATTATTTGCCAGTTCGTGGTTTAAAGCACCAAACATACTTATGTTAATAGTTTGTCACTTTCGTTGTATTTTTCTGTCCGTGTCAATTGACAGACGTTGAAACACGGGAAAGAGTGTAACATTATATAAAAAGTAGTATACAGAACTTAAAATGTCCCCTCTTTAGCCACCAGACTATAGCACAGAGGCGTCTTAGCTTATTCAATGAACCAAATGCCACGTTTTAAGAAAAAATCCTTTCTGTGATAATATTGCTTTAACAGTATGCAGAAATATGAACAGTTATAATATACAGTTCACCTGCAAAGTCAGTCGCTGAGCGACGACAACGGAATGCGAATGGAACTCGTACTATCGCTTAAGGAACCTTCGACCAAAGCCACTGGCTGTGCAGCGGGGAGCACGATCGGTAACGATGGCTCATTGTCCATGTCAACCTGCACTGCTTCGTCGGTGAAGGTCTGTGCTTCTCTTCTTGTCGAAATAGAGTCAGAAGTGGCATCTGAGCTATCTTGCGATGTCGACTTTAAGTGCTCTATGTCTTTCGATTCGGTAGTTTCGTCGATTAGTTTCTTTGCTGCTTCGTACTCCCAACGTAGGAAACGAATCGCCCCAACAACCGTCAGGCATAGCATCCCACAGAATAACGAGGCAACGGTCGCCCCGGTGTCCCATCTAAACGCTTGTTTCACTTGCACGGTAACCGGCATTTGGGTCGGCGACTCAGTGTCATTCGCCCAGATTATAAGATCCTCCTGCTGGGATGTGATCAAAACCAAACTGCAGATCAGTATAGCCCACAAATGGGACGACAACGACATCTGGAATTGAGCTATTTACTTCATGTCGCACTTTAACACAGACAGTGTTTACAGAAGCATTGGCTTCTCATTTACATCAGCCTACTTTAAACTGGGAAGCGAAGTTTAAAATATAAAAAATCACATAAAATGCGACTCTGATATTCAGACGTGGCTTCCACGAGTGGGAGTTTAAAATATACCTGATTGTTTCCAGAGCCAATTAGCGCACATTACACTATGAAAAACGTAAACGCTTGACACGGAAACCAAAACAAAAGTTATTTTTCGTTAAGTCAGTCATTGCCGATCTAAAGACTGGAAAGGAATGTGGAGGGTTGGGAACTTTGGCGATGTCCCCTGAAACTTAGCCATCTGTTGTCGAACATTTTGCCACCTTAGTCGTCATCTGGATTATCTAGTACTGCATTCGTTTTGTAGGGAACTGTCGCGGAATGAAGAAAAGCAGCTACCGAAATATACTTCACCCCTTCTTGCTGCTGGTGCCATAACAGTGTAACAATGGCTGTCGAAAGGTGACAAGTCAGTAACGGAGTCGCTATCCGTTCTGAACTGAAGAAATAGGGGACGCGATGCCATTTTGGCAAGTTATATAAGATTTCACGGCAACGATGACAACAGTTGGAGGTTGCAATCTGTAACTGGAACATCCCTTCACTTAGAGGTATTGTGCAAGAGCAAGTCGATGAGGGCGCAAGGTAATGACTGGGCATAGTTGAGGTCTCCTGAACGAGCGCCAGGTCTTTGGAATTCTGAACATCTGCGGGCGGAATCTACTCTACTGATGCATCGACTCTAAGACCCCACTCAAACTGGTGTTGGTTTTCCGGTAAAACTGAACTTGGCTAAAAGAATCACTGAATATAATCCTGTCAGCGATAAGAGTGGCGATACTCAGACTTCAGTTACAAGAGTCGAAGGCCTTGACCGTGCGTGTGCCCAATTCGGAGAGAGGATATGAGTCTTCCCTGGAGGTCGTAGTACGTGCTTTATGTAATCTGTTCACTCTGCAATTCGTCACTGATGAATGATTTCGTTACGCATGTCAAAGCAAACATGGAAAAGTGGAAAACCCTGACTGATGAGAACAACCCCATCGAACATAACACTAGCAACATGAAGTTGTGGCGGTTTTTTTTGAGACAACAAACTGCCTCTTATGAACACATTCTTCGAGCATCGAAACGTACATCAGTATAGCTGATATACTGAAGCTTGTGAACATAGGTCGATGGTCAATCACACAGGCAGATTACGGTACTGTAATGGATACTCGCGTTAAAAGAAGCGCATGACTGTCAACTGGTCATCATTTTGTTCGCACCTCCACTGAAAACGATGGAATAACATGCGGAGACCTAGCTGTAGAAGCAACTGCAGGGAGACTCACTTGAAAAGCAGCAGCCAGATGATATGTCTTTCAGTAGCTGAAGTCACAGAAATTGTGAAAATCTTGAAGAGTTACTAGGCTGCTGGATTCAATGAATGTCGCCATGAGTTGTTTAAAGCTTTAGACGAACGAGACATGTCGTGGCTAAGTGTAATGGCTTCAGATAAGATACCACTGGACTGAAGAACCGGAGTTGTAGTACCCCTGTTTAAGAAACTGAGACTATATGGTGTTTTCTTATTATCTAGCCTTACCTTATTGAGTCCCCCAAAAAAAGTCTGTGCAACGCAGTTAGAAAGGAGGTACTGTGGAATGGCTGACTCTGATATCCAAGGTGAAAAATGGTCTCATTTCAGACCAAGTCTTTGCCTTGCCAGATTGTTGAGAAATCGTGGGAGATCGCTCATCTGCTGTGCACTGCGTTGTTGTCCCGGATAAGGCATATGACCGGATCCCAAGCAACAAGTAAGGGGCGTGGCGGCAGACGTATAGGATCGATAGCCGATAGTTGTTAGCCATTCAGTCCTACATGCTGATAGCAGGTACTGCGTCAGAGTAAATGGCTTTAAGTCGAGACCTTTCAACGTTGGCACTGGTCTCCGCCAAGGGCATGTTCTCACCCCTCTTCTGTTCGTGTTGTACATAGGTAGAGTAGTCAGATGCAACCAAGGGCGATGAGTGCGAGATGCGAGCAGTTTGTAGTTCCCAGACGACAATTTTTGGTATCTTCCAAAACTGAACACCAGCATTGACTGAAAGGTTCACAGACTAGTAAGTTGTGACCCGCATGCGTGTGTACCTGTTTTATGCGGAAAGCCTTTCTCGTTCTACGGCCCGTTGCTCTCTTCAGATTAACGGAGAGGCAGTGGAGAAGTTTGACTACTTCGGAGTCGTGTTCATAGTGATGAAAAATTTGAGGAGGAGGTCAACCGACGGATTGGAGTAGCTAG